CAGAGGAGGAGGATGAGGGTCGGGTCAGGCGAGTGTCGGATGAATCAGCCGGGTCAGACGGATGGATACCCGGGAGCAGACGGGTCACGTACGGCTGGCAAATGTCAGAATCGTCGGCCAACCGCAAGGAAAACTTGCGCTAATGCCGCGTGAGCCCTAATCAAAGTCTGGATATGCTCTACGTGCCGCATTGGGGCGCAGATAAAATCAACATAAAGACACAATTTGCCCAACCAGAGGAAAATATGGTATACTATCAACTCACAAAAGAAGGAAATAGGAAATGAGCTGCCAGTTGACAAGCTGTGACGACACACGAGCGTGGAGCCACAAAACTATAAATTAAATTTGCTTTCAGCTGCAATTAGCCAAAATGACATTCTTAATTAGCCAAGGGGAAAATACCGTCTTTACTGTCTCGGCAAAGGGTGAAAGTATCTCTACTCCCACCCTTCCTCTCTCGCACCGTAAGAAGAGTTCAAAGTTGGTGACTGAAAAATTCCCAATTTTGCTTGCTTAGCTTCAGTTTCTAATTATAAGCCAGCCAAGCGGGCGCATAATTATAAACAAACAAAGCGAAAGCAAAACAACGACGATGGAAAACTCAAACCCAAACTCAAAATGTATCCCAAAAGATAAAACATAGACGATGGCAGCAGCAGCACCAGCCCGTCGTCCCCTCTTCTTCGGCGGTTTATGACCTTTCAGCAAACAAAAAAGCGGCACCAAAATAGGTGTGAGGAGCGAAAAAAAAAGACGCCGGAGGAGCCCATTTGGCCTTGGCCATCAAATATTTAGTAAATACTTTTTCAGCGGCTGCTGCTCATGCCTCTGCACAGAGAGAAAATATTATTATTTAAGCCAAGAAGCATACAATATCTCAGGACTTTTCATATTTAAGGTAAAATTTTTATATATTGTTCAATTTTTTTCCCCGTGGACGTTATAAAGGCCGTTGACTACTTAAATTTTAATTCCTCTTCCACTTGGCCAGCTTGCTTATCGCTTTTGAGAGCTCTTAAAATACACAAAAGCGATTAAACCCGGCGAAAACTGCGCCTAATTTCTAATTTCTGCGACGCAATGGGGAGTCTGTCCCAATTATAGATTAATCTTTGTCCGGAGTCAACACCATCGGACTCTGCTGACTCACCGGCATGCAAATAAGCCAGAGAACGCTTATCAGCCGGGCCAGAAGAGCGGCAGAAGAACCCCGAAGAACAACGACCCAAGATTGGACATTACTCATCTCGTTCGGGGTTACTGGGACAAAGGCATGACACAAGACGTGGGGAATGGCAGAAAGTAGCAACACAAAGCAAACAAGTTTATTTGCAAAAAAGATCGTCGTCAAAAGATAGCGTCTAGAAAATATTTTAGCTAAAGATTGCACAAAAAATAGAATTTCTATAATTTATGAATGAATATTGGTGGGGCTTATCACATCTTCCTGCGGTATATATCGAATATTAAAGTGCTTCTCGAACGCCAAAGGTTTGGTTTGGTTTTGTAATTTAATTTTCTTTAAAATATTTGTAAAAGTAAATATTTATCTACTTAATTGTTATTTTTTCAGCCGATCAACGATAAGTATTCATAATTTCTTACATTCATTGCGAAATTCCCGATGATCTTAAGTTACATTTCAAAAGCAAGAAAGCTGCTTTTGCTCAACTCCAAGAAATATGGGTTTGTCACAATCTCTTAGGTACATTATGTATTTCATTCTGACTTTAAGCCCCAACGTCTTATCGCTAACATCCTTATTGGGTTAGGTTAGGCTTAGAGCTTCACCAGATTTGTTATCATGGCCATACTATTTTCTACTTTGATTTGTTTACTACACTATTGGTGAGAGGGGTCAAGAACACAACACTATATAATCTATTTATTTCACTCTTTTCAGATTAAACATTAGTTTTAGTTTAGGTTTCGGGTTTCAAATGCTTATTACCGTGACTACAATTTGAGTTTGATGGATGCCCATCAATAAAAGTCTGCTTTGCGTGAGACAATAGCCAAGACTGTTAAGTAACAATTTCTTTGCTTGTTATTTTTGTTGGCTTAAAATAGCAAGAAAATGAAATAAAAAGCAAACCCAATAAACAAAGTTATATTGGCAGAAAAGCAACAAAACATAAACAAAATGCTATAAAAATTGTGTAACCCTAAAGTTCAATCCTTTTACCCCTTTTATGATTTCAATTTTTACGCCGAGGATCGTAACTTAAGAACCTTTTAACTATGTATTATAAGGCTGTAATACTTAAGTACCTAATACCATCTCAAAAAAGAATATTTGTTTTAAAGTCACGACATCTGTGTAAATATGGTATGTATACAATATTTGTTTTAAAGAAGGTTAAATAGAGTATAGTGTATTGAACTTGAAGTTTTTAAGATGTTTTGTGAGTAATTGCATAATTGTAGACTTTCTATATTTGTACAAGCTCTAAATTCTGTCATAAAGAAACCCTTTTTTTATCTGGTTAAGTTTAATCTTTACGTCACACCAGTTTGTTTTAGTCGATGCTTTCGATGCTTTAATATGCAAAAATTCTATTTTAAACCGATAAGCCCCAAAAACAGCCTTTTTATGTTATTTGAATTGCCAAATACTTTTATAGGGATTCTTTTGGCCCCACAATTTCGCTAGGAAACTTATAAATAAAAGCCAGCTTTGCCAGTCGGTTAAATAACAGTTACCGCTCTTGCTTTTGTTTATTTTTGTTTTTTTTTTTTGTATTATTGTTGTTGTGTATTTTGCTCGAAATAAAAATAGCACGGTAAGAAAACAACAAAAACAAATTGGCAGAAAGGCAACAAAAACTTGCCCTGGCTTTGCCTTTGCTTTTGCCACCGCCGCTATCGTTGGCGTAGCATTATGTAAAATTTGTTTACACTCACCTTGGGATGCAATTGGGCGGCGTTCGGTCCACCTCCCAGGCGGCGAACAGCTTCATGGGCACCGGTTTCTGGCCATTGGCTCCGGCGATCCCTCCTAGGGCTGCCGCGGATCCGCCAAAGTTGGTAACACCGCCACCTCCGCCGCCGCCACTGCCACCGCCTCCGCTGCCTGGCATGTTGAGCGGTCCACTGCCGGCGCCACTGGCGTTCCCGGTGCCGCTGATAACGGCGAATTTATCCACTAACTTGGACGACTTGTCGACCATCTTCATGGTGTGCTTGTGTTTGGCTGTTTGGGCTCGCTTTTGTTTCTTGTGGTTTAGCGAGCTGTGTTCTGTTTCCACAACACTTGCGATTTAATGTTTATTCGTTTCTCCAGCAGCAAGCACATAGTTTTCCGATAGTTTCTGCCCTCACAAAATATATGTGTACTTTTTTTGACGAAAGTTTCAAGTTTTGAATTTTTGGTTCTCCGATTGAAAGGCCGCCAATACCAACACACACCTACAAATGCACGCACGCTGGGGAAGGGCGTGTCGCCGCCTTAAAAGTGAACCAAAAAACGGTACGTTGTAGTATACACAGAGAAAAACGTGGGGGAGACGGGCGGGCGAGGGAGAGTAGTTGTTGGGGCTGCTGCTGCAACTGCAAAATTCACTCGCACACCGAATCAATATACGCGGCGAATCTGTTGCGGATTAGGGCTGCTCGGATTGGGGCTCGGGTTGCGCGCGGGCTCGGTTTCCGTTTCGGAGGCTGCTGCTTCTGCAGCCGTGTGGGTCGCGTCGAAACTGCCGCGATGGAACCGTCATGCTCCAAAGTAAAAGTGCGAATGTCGCGCTATAAATCTCGCCCCAAACGTTGGGGCTCTCTATTGCGCGCTCTCTCTCTAGCTCGCTCGCTCGTCGCCAACTAGAGCTGGGAAACTATCGATGGTACTATCGAGGTATCGACTTTTTCCTTTTTTTGAGCCACCATCGATAGTTTTTTATCACTATCGATAGTACGGGACTATTTTTATATCTCTGCTTTGTTGCTGAAATTTAGTAAGAAAAATGCAAACAAATATATATATATATGTATATATATTATTTTTTTTTTATAATAAAAATGTATTCTAAATTAACTTAAATTGGAGTTGGTGGTGAAAAATATTAACTGAATCTCAAAAGAAAGGGTGCGTCTACGCCACGTCTTCAGAGTCTAAGCGTATGTTTAGCAATGGTAATACAATTTTATTTGTGCAAAGTTGCTTGGATAGAATATTTATGTTAATTACTTAGTCAAAACATATTGAATAGTATTATAATTCTATTTGAAATTGCTATAACTTTAATTTGCAAAAAGAATCGTAAAAAAACGATACTATCGATAGTATCGAATTTTCGTTTTCAAAACATCGAAAATATCGAATGGTGTCACTATCGATAGTTTCCCAGCTCTATCGCCAACAACAATGTGTGCAAATGCTATGCGCACACACATACACTTGATTTTCGCAAATCCCCTGCTGGCCGTGTGTGTGCGCGCACTTATGCTTTGCTCTCTCTCTCTCGCGCGCGCATAAACAAAAAGGAAAACGCCACGAATTTCGGGGAGTGTGAGCAAGCGGCCCAAGAACAACAACTCTCTCTTCAGCACTCGCGCGGTTTTTGGCGGGGTTAATTACTTCTGATCCGCTAACTGTGCGGCACAATTTGTTTACATTTATAGCGTTTTTTATCAATTATTTATGGGGCTTAAACACGTTTTATTGGTTTTATTTGTTGTGGAGCAGCGACACAGCTTCCGATTTGGGCAATGGGGAGCAGTATGACCAGGTGCTGAGAGGTGATAAATACTGAAACCGAATATACCAACGCGGAACAAGATGAAATTGGTGTTCAGAAATTATACCCTTGCAGGGAATTACCATTTAAGTCAGAAGTTTGCAACGTAATGTCTTGTTTAAAAAATACAGGCATTAAAAATTATTCATTTTTTTATGATGGAATTGCAAAAAATATCGGCGATGTATCGGCGGTATATTTAGCCGGACAGGGAACGGCCCAATGTGCGGTATAAACTATAAAAAGACCTTTTTAGTATTAAGTAGTTTTTTTTCTGTTTGCTGCCACGGTCACACGAGCTCTTTGTAAAAAAAAAAAACTCGACTTTGTTTACTATTTTGTTTACCGGCAATTAAACGCTCAATAATGGCCGATGTGTGGGACATAAAATCACTGAAGACGAAGCGGAACACGCTTCGCGAGAAGCTGGAGAAACGGAAGAAGGAGCGCATCGAGATACTCTCGGACATTCAGGAGGACCTCACGAATCCCAAGAAGGAACTCGGTAGGCGCCGGTGGCAATGGCAACAAGTTGAATCCCTTAAGCATCGCTCTGATTTAATTACAGTTGAGGCAGACCTGGAAGTGCAGAAGGAGGTGCTGCAGTCGCTCAGTGCCTGCTCCCTGGCCCTGCCCATTGTGTCCACCCAGGTTGTAGAGAAGATTCCTGGCAGCACCTTGGAGATGGTCAACTTTATACTGGGAAAACTAGCCAGCCGGGGTGCAATCGGCATACGGAACGTGACCATCGGGACGGAGACCGGTTGCGAGATCATCTCGGTTCAGCCGAAAGAGCTGAAGGAGATTCTGGACGACACCAACGACACCTGTCAGCAAAGAGAAGAGGAGGCGAAAAGAAAAAGTGAGTGTAGTGTCTTTCTTAGGGTAAAGGTTTTAACCCCCCTTTTTAACAGTGGCCGATCTGGCGGAGAACGAGGATGAGGATCAGCCGCAGGAAAAGACTCCAAAACTGGACACCAGTGCGACGCGCAAGGAATCCACCAGCCTTGACGCCCCCGACGACATCATGATGCTTTTATCCATGCCCTCAACACGCGAGAAGCAAAGCAAGCAGGTGGGCGAGGAGATCCTGGAGCTGCTTACGAAGCCCACAGCCAAGGAGCGATCCGTGGCGGAGAAGTTTAAATCGCATGGCGGAGCGCAGGTCATGGAGTTCTGCTCCCACGGCACCAAGGTTGAGTGCCTTAAGGCTCAGCAGGCCACCGCCGAAATGGCCGCTAAAAAGAAACAGGAGCGCAGGGACGACAAGGATCTACGCACGGATGTAGAGGCGGGGACCAGCAGTAGCGGAAAGTTGCCAAAATCTGCAGACTCCGTAGCTGAGGATGGTGAGATAATCCCCGAGGTGATCGAGGTCGAATCGCAGGAATCTACCGATGGCAGCGATACCTCCGGTAGCGAGACAACAGACAAGTGCACCAAGCTCCACTTCAAAAAAATCATTCAGGCGCACACGGACGAGTCGCTTGGGGATTGTAGCTTTCTCAACACCTGCTTCCACATGGCCACCTGCAAGTACGTTCACTACGAGGTGGACACCCTGCCGCATATCAACACCAACAAGCCGACGGATGTTAAGACGAAGCTAAGCCTCAAGCGCAGCATCGACTCCAGCTGCACGCTGTATCCGCCGCAATGGATTCAATGCGATCTGCGCTTCCTGGACATGACAGTTCTGGGCAAGTTTGCGGTGGTCATGGCTGATCCGCCCTGGGATATCCACATGGAGCTACCCTACGGCACAATGTCGGATGATGAAATGCGAGCCTTGGGTGTGCCCGCTCTTCAGGACGACGGACTAATCTTCCTTTGGGTCACAGGCAGAGCCATGGAGCTAGGCCGCGACTGCCTCAAGCTGTGGGGCTACGAACGTGTGGACGAGCTCATTTGGGTGAAGACCAACCAGCTGCAACGGATTATACGCACGGGACGCACTGGTCATTGGCTTAACCACGGCAAGGAGCACTGCCTAGTGGGCATGAAGGGGAATCCCACTAATCTGAACCGGGGCCTCGACTGTGACGTGATCGTGGCCGAGGTGCGGGCCACCTCGCACAAGCCGGACGAGATCTATGGCATCATCGAGCGCCTCAGTCCTGGCACCCGAAAAATCGAGCTGTTCGGCCGTCCCCACAATATCCAACCAAACTGGATAACGCTGGGCAATCAGCTGGACGGCATTCGGCTGGTGGATCCCGAGCTGATCACACAGTTCCAAAAGCGATATCCCGATGGCAATTGCATGTCCCCAGCAACGGCAAGTGCAGCGGCCATTAACGGAATTCAGAAGTAAGATTTAAGGCAATATTATTTGTACTGTATTTGAAGAACTCCGGACAAGAGAGTCACTTCTACAGACTCCGATTAAATAAGGTAAATTATAATAATTAAAGCTTTTTTACGAACTAGGGGCTTATATTTTAATGTCAGATGTTACGTTAAAGCAGATGGACCTCAAATATCACTGGGAGCTCTAATAGTAGAAATTAAAGTCCACAATGATTTCTGTGGCACCACTGATAATTAAGTCGATATGAATGCTTAGTTGTTGATTGAATTACCAGGTATTAGAAAGTTGAATCAAAATAAAATAGGTAAAGAGTATTACGAAAAAACACACAGGCACACAAAATTCGAAAACAAAAAGTCTCGGAACCAAGAACCTGAATTATTTTGTTTACGAAGGAGTTAGATGCGTTGAACTTGAATTCGGACTGAGAAAACTTCCTGTATGTCAGGAAAAGTGCAAAAAATAAAGTCTTAGGTTACTTCTTAGGTGCTCTTACTTCTGTTTAATTTTTGGTTTTTAACGATACATTACCCTCATCATAAAATACTGTTCTTGACTTAAAAATCCGTATTTGTTGAAAAATACCTAAAAACCCTTATTTTCTGCCCTTTTAAGTTCAATATTCTTAGACCGGCTTTGAGTTCAGCGTATCAAAAGCTATCGAAAAAGTATATTCCTGTTCTAGGTTCTAAAAAATTGTATAACTATGCTGATCATATATCCTTAGTTTCCCCCTTTAGCCACATAAATAGAGTTACTCCACCGCAATTTGCTATATGTAAATCCACATAAATAGTTTTATTGCTCATAAGTTAAGGGGCTTTGCGCGTATTTACAAAAGTGCGATATTCACCGAATCGGCGATTGTTCTAGATGTAGAACTACTTATGCACACGTACGGGCTATAAAGGACCCACAACGTGTACATACATACGTATGACGATCAGCTATGCACGTTTTCTGCTGTTTCGGTTACTCGGTTATAATAACTTAAGAATTATCAGAGAGTGAGTACATGGTTTAAGTTAGGGGAATACAATACGTATAGAAATGCAACGTACACAATGTGTGCTTGACTGGCCAGTCGCCATTCAGTGTCCTGCTTCTGTCTCCGATCCCTGGGAGTGCTCCTCGCAAATGTATTTACATGTCAGGAATACGAGAACACCGGCATGTGTCCCATTTATCATTGTTTGCTTCGCGTTTTTTGACACTAAATTTGGATTTACAGTAGCAAGCAAAACGGTAATCAATGTTACATAAATTTAATAAACATTAACGTGTCTGTAAATATAGTTTATTCTTCTAGCGGGAGTGCCCGCTAACCGAACTGATGGTCTTTAGCACAAGGAATCCCAGCATTGTGGCCGCTGCTACGCCCAGTCCAGCCTTCCACCACAGCCTCGGATCGTCTGTCATGAGGCCAAACTGCCTCAAGTGGCTGCGGTTGAGCATGTGAAAGAGAAAGGGTGGAGTTAGAAAAGGTTGAAAGCAGGAAAAACATTTAATTGGTTTAGGGGTAAGACTAAGGATTGTCGCACACCACGTTAATTAAGCGGGGATGGAGCTCATTGGTCACTGTGGCGGATGGAATCAACAAGTAACAATAACAAACAGATAGAATGCTGACATTAGTAACGAGTTCAGTTTGAAATGGTAACACTTACGCCGACTCCCACAGCTGTACCAACCTGTGCTTGTAGAACAGTATCCAGGCGGCCTGGAATCGCCTGCAGCCATAAAATCCAAGAAGCCATCGACGTGCACATAAACATCACAACAAAACAGAAAAACAGACACCAACCAAGACACAGAAAAAAAAGGGGAGAAGAGAAGAGATAAGAAGATATTAGGTAACCATTAATCTAGGATGTGACCCGAATGTTAGATGCCGTCTAGAACTACCGCCGATTGTGGACTATTTCTGGGGTTTACTCACGGAAAAGCGGCCATGGTCGCCAGCTTCGTATACAGTTCTTTTTTGTTGGTCTTCAGGCTGAACAGGTGTGGCGGCAGCAGCTTGTACTTCTCACAGAACTCCGACGGCTGCATCAGATAGTCTTGCCGGCGCTCGTCCATGTCGCACTTGGTGCCCACTATCATGACCGGAATCTTGCTCTCCGCGTAGTATTTGATGTAGATCCGGGCAACGTACTCGAAGGAGCGGGGATTGGAGGAGTCGAAGACCAGACAGGCCACATCGCAGTTGACTTCTTGGGGCTGGAGGGGATCGAGAGCGTGCCGCACATCAATGTCGCGCAGGATGAGATGCTTCTCCTGGCCGTACACCTGAACCGAGTTGATGCAGTGAACCACATTGGTTTTGAATTCCTTCCCAATCAGCTTGTGCATTTCCTCGACCAGGAAGCCACGACACAGGCCCGTCTTTCCGGATCCTTTGGGCCCAATCACATGACACTTGTACACGGACCTGCTGCTTTGGCGCTTGGCCAAATCGATGCGACGCTCCCGGGTCACGTGTATGGCCGCCAACTGGCTGTCGTTCTCATGGACATTAAAGCCCAGGTAGGCCAGATACTCCATGGTCTTTACCACATCGATAAGCGTCATCAGGGTCCAGCGGCAGAGCCAACCATGCAGGGTCACCCAACCAGTGGTCTCATTGATGGGGCAGGACTTGCGTATATCCGTCGAGTAGGACCACGGCGATGCCGGGCACGTGCTGAACAGCATCTTGTGCTCCTCGGGTGACAAGGCCCCATCTCCATCGCGATCGTAGCGCTCGAACACGGCGATGAGGAACTGCTGTCCACGGTGAGACAGTTCCGTGCTGCTGCCAGGCGGAATTTTCAGTGGGGGCCGTAAATACTCCTGGCACATCTCCAACTGGTCGTTGTAGCCAAATCGCCGCAATACCGCCCAGGTGGTCTCGTTCCTTCCCCGCTGGATGAACAGGCAGTGCAGGAAGAGGAAGCCCTTCAATGTGACCGCGTCGTTGTAGATGCCATCGGGCACGTTCTTTTGTATTACGGCCTTCACCTCATCGAGGATCTGGGGCTGCAGCGGCGTATTAAAGCAGCGCCTTTGAAACAGATTTAGCTCGTAGTCGTTCAGCAGATTGTCGCCGTCAATATCGCAGATTTTGAAGATGCGCACCAACGACTTCTTGCAGGCCGGGGTTAGCTAAGTGAGGAAGGAAATGTTTTAAGTTCTGGTGAAATAGAGAAGTTGAAGGGTTCGATTTGCTTAGAGGAATGTCTAAGGACTGGTCTACCTTTAAATGTCCTTCAACACAATCTTCAAGCTTTTTCACTCTATATATATACCTATAGACCTTTTATCGCCACTGTGATAATACCTATAAATGGACAAAGATAACACAGTGACGACCTATGAGCTGCTACCTCCACCAAATCGACCCGAATACCTCGCTGCAGCACTTACCTCCTGTTCATCCATCACGTAGAGCGGCGAAGTCGGGTGCAGCACGGCCTTCTGGGCGTAGTAGAACATCTCCGAGATGTTGTGCAGCGTCTTGGCAGAGCACTCTACGCAACTTTCGATCTCGGGGTAATCCTCCATAATGGCCAGTACGCTGTCCATGGTGGAATACTCGATCAAGTCGACCTTATTGCCCACCAGGACAATGGGCTTCCGCAAGGGCTCCCGGTCTGCATCGCCCTCGGCCTCAGCCTCTGCTTCAGTGTCTCCCTCGCCGTCCAAGGAGGGATTGCATTTGGCGCGTATAAGCGGCAGCCAGTGTGAGGTGATCCGGTCCAGAGAGTCATCGTCGTTCGCCGCATACACAATGCAAACCACGTGCGCCTTATTGATCTCGACGCCAAGGGCATCCTCCGACTGCTCCACACTCGAGAAGTCGACGATGCTTGTGGGCACCTGCTCCGGCGTAACATTGGCTGGAATGGTGATCTCCTCGGCGCGAGGCGGCACCTCCTCGGGATACTCCTCGCTGACCAGCGAAAGAATCAGAGACGTCTTGCCCACCCCGGCGTCACCCACGAGCAGTATCCGCACATTCTTGCGCTGTGACGCCGTGTACTGTCCCATTCCGACTGCCCTGCGAGTGGGATGTGCCTCTCGTGGTCTCCTGGTCACTGTATCCGCAATGGTGCTCGTTTCGGGCAAGTATCCGAGATTTTGTTATGCAAAAACGCAAAAAAACAACCAAGAGAGAGATGGGGATGGCAGCTGATGTATCAAGGTTGTGCTATCGGCTATCGGGTAACGGTTATCGCAACCCAAGATGGGGCTGCCAGACCAGCGGTAGCAATGTCCAACAAAATCAACAATTAATAACTTCAGAAAATTTAAACAGCATTTAAAAAGCTGATTAGACCTAGACTGTGAACCTTAGAAAAATAGGAACCAAGTTTATTTCGAAATCAAATCCAAAATAAATGTCTGGCAACTAAGGCGGCAGCTGGTTTTGTAAGCGAGATGGCAGTCTAGCTTTTTCCGCCAAAACAAGCTTTTTATTTAGGATTTTTTATTTTTTAAATTTATTGTTTTGGATTAAAATTTTGCCAACTGATAATATTGTCCTGATAAGGAAACAAATTGTTCTTCTGTAATAATATAATTAATGTTATTAAATTTAAATTTGATGTAAAACAGCGGACCAATAAATGCTACTCACTCTTAGCAGTATTGTGAATAATAGTTAATAGATAATAATAACAGTTAAACTGCCTTGTAACTATACCGAAATGATTGTTTAAAATTTAAATTTAAAATCATCTCAACAAGTATTTCCGTTATTTATCACATTTAAACATAGCTATTTTTCTAGCCAGTTCGCTAAGCCCACCGAATTTGGTAATCCAAAGGCGGCAGCACTGATGGAGACAAGCTTCATTTTTCTACGTCGGTTGAAAGAAGTGAAGAAAAAGTCAATTCTCGACTCGGATATCAGAGAAATGAGCAATTGCACCCGCGACGGGAAGTAGTTGAAGCGTCTCCGTCGTTTATTTGTTTTATGTGGCGTCGATTCCAGCGCGTGCCACCGTCCTATTCGTTTATTTGCGTGCTTAATAGTTTTAGAGCAGAACTTCCCCTGCAAAGGGGAGTGGAGTGCTGTGTGGAGAAAGGGGGCGCGGAGTGCTGAACGCGCAGACAGCGCGGAATCGATATCGATGGTACGCACCAAAAACCAGTCCTCCTCCTCCAGCGCCAGCAGCAGTAGCACCAAATCGCCAATCAAGTCCAGCGCCGGAGCCGGATCGGGGGGCGCCAGCGGACGCCAGTCCACGCACCGCTCCTCGAGCGCCTCCAACGTAGCCGCCGCCGCCGCCGCAGCAGCCGGAGCTACCTCGTCTGGCGCCGCCTCGTCAAATCGTAGAACGACGCCGGGTAGCTCGCCCGACGGCGACGACGACACCACCACCACCGATGACCTGACCCCCACCTCGTGCTCCCCGCGCAGCGGCCACCACCACCACCAGTACATTGGCTCTTCGTCCTCCGTGCACAAGCAGAACCTTTACGTTGTCTCGTTCCCCATCATCTTCCTCTTCAACGTACTACGCTCGCTGATTTATCAGCTGTTCTGTATCTTTCGCTACTTGTACGGAGCGAGCACAAAGGTGATTTACCGCCCGCACCGCCGCGACTGCAACATCGAGATCGTGGTGCAGAACTCCAAAGAGCAGCAGCAGCAGTCGCTCAACCATCCGCTAGAACTCAACGGGGAAAGAGTTGGCCAGGAGCAGCAGTTGTCCAATCAGCCACAGCGCTACCGCGCCATTCAACCGCTTGAAATGTCTGCCAATCGTCCCGGTGGTGGATACTCGCCCGGCCCCGGTGATCCGCTACTGGCCAAGCAGAAGCACCACCATCGCCGGGCCTTTGAGTACATCTCCAAGGCGCTCAAGATCGACGAAGAGAATGAAGGTGAGCCTAAGTTTTCGCCCCGTACTTCGAGTGTCGATGCTCAATGAGTCATCGCCCGCTGGCCGCTTTTGTTGTCTGTTGAGTGTGAGAATCAATAAACCGAAACGCGCGCACAAAGGATGCCCCGAATACGAAGCCGGGGGATTGGGGGAGTTGAGTTGTGCCTTGTGCCTTGATGGACATCTATTGACTTGCTGACAATCCTTCAACGCTTTTAGTACCTGGCACTCTTGGGGCTCAAGGGTATATTTCTGGTTTTTAATAGTAAAGAACATGAAGTGAATAGAGAACCAAGGAAAGGCAAAAAGAGGCATCCTTCCTTTATAGAGTATATTATTTGAATAACAAATTTTATTTTTATAATTTAAAAAGACTTTAAAACAGGGTATGCCATGGTCGACTATAGCTTCATTTCTGGTTTCTTTTGCAGGTCACAAGGAGCTGGCCATTGAGCTCTACCGGAAGGGCATCAAGGAACTGGAGGATGGCATCGCCGTAGACTGCTGGAGTGGTCGCGGGGATGTGTGGGATCGGGCTCAACGGCTGCACGACAAGATGCAGACAAATCTTTCGATGGCTCGAGACCGACTTCACTTTCTGGGTAAGTGGCTGGACTGTCGACAAATCTCTCCTCTGCCCCGAAACGTAGGTTTGAGTTATCCCATTTTTATTTTTGATTTTTTTCATTTTGCACGTTTCTATCCTGCTTTTTTGTTGTTTTGCCTTGGTTTTGTCCACATTGTGCCGTGCGTTCCATTCGACGCGCAGCACTGCGTGAGGAGGATATCCGATTGCAGCGGCTCTCCTTGAAGGAGAAGCAGAAGGAGCACAAGCAGCAGGCTCAGAGCCAGCCGCAAAAGTTCAAAGAACCCATGCTGGCGGGAATGAGCAACAACGAGACCGCGAAGTCCAGGGTGCGCAGCAGCGGCTACGGTCCAAAACCCACACCCACCGTCAGTGTCCAGCCCAGCGGTAAGTTCCTCACTAGCTCACAAACGCACCCAACCAAGATCTTCACCACCCAGCAACGCCCACAGCAACGAACAAAAGCCGATCATCATCGATTCAATCACTCACTTGGCACTTGATTTGTTTACCTTCTTAATTTCGCTTGCCCGAATTTGTAGCTTGAGAAGGCCTGCTCCTTATATTATCCTTCTCTGATCTAGGCTTTCCTTTCTCTTCCCCAGCTTCGGGCCGCAAGCTGACCATCGGAACCAAGCGGCCCGGCAATTTGGCCGTTGCCAATAAGTCACAAACGTTACCGCGCAATCTTGGCTCCAAGACGTCCGTTGGCGCTGTCCAAAGGCAACCGGCCAAGACGGCTGCCACGCCCCCTGCCGTACGGCGCCAGTTTGTGAGTATCTACTAGATATAAATATAATATAAGAGATATATGTATGTTTAAAAAATCGCCACTCAACTTCCGAAAGCTCAGAACTTGAGTCGATGTAAACAATTATCTTTTCTGCTGTCTCGTGGATATCAAATTGTCTGTGTATTGTCTGCATATAAAGATTATTTAACAATCATTATAAACAAAAAAGGATATTCAAATTAGACCCTAAATACCTTTAACTCTGTCTCTTAATCTTTGTCAAATCCTTTTTGGTCCTCCTAAGAGTTCAAATGTTATTCATCACTCCTTCTCTTCTGCAGTCATCGGGTCGCAATACTCCGCCCCTGCGCTCCCGAACTCCCATAAACAATAACGGTCCCAGCAGCAGTGGCAGTGGCGCCAGCACTCCCGTCGTAAGTGTCAAGGGCGTGGAGCAGAAACTGGTGCAGCTTATTCTCGACGAGATTGTCGAGGGCGGGGCCAAGGTGGAGTGGACGGACATTGCGGGCCAGGAGGTGGCCAAGCAGGCCCTACAGGAGATGGTCATACTGCCGTCCGTTCGACCTGAGCTCTTTACAGGCAAGTTTTTTTCTATTAACAATTGAGTTGCTTTTCCTACAATCCTGCTTCTTCTTTGCTGAATAGGTCTTCGTGCTCCTGCCAAGGGATTGCTGCTTTTCGGTCCACCCGGTAATGGCAAGACCTTGCTGGCGCGTGCCGTGGCCACCGAATGTAGCGCTACATTCCTAAACATCTCGGCGGCCTCGCTGACCAGCAAGTATGTGGGTGATGGCGAAAAGCTGGTGAGGGCTCTGTTTGCTGTGGCCCGACACATGCAGCCCTCGATCATCTTCATCGACGAGGTGGACTCGCTGCTCTCGGAGCGAAGCAGCAGTGAGCACGAGGCGTCGCGCCGCTTGAAGACCGAGTTCCTGGTGGAGTTCGACGGGCTGCCGGGAAATCCGGATGGTGATCGCATTGTGGTGCTGGCCGCCACCAATCGACCGCAGGAACTGGACGAAGCCGCCCTGCGACGGTTTACTAAGCGCGTCTATGTCGCACTGCCCGACGAGCAGACCCGCGAGCTGCTCCTCAACCGCCTGCTGCAGAAGCAGGGCAGTCCGCTGGACACGGAGGCTTTGCGCCGGCTAGCCAAGATCACCGATGGTTACTCGGGATCCGATTTGACGGCTCTGGCCAAGGACGCGGCTCTGGAGCCCATTCGCGAGTTGAATGTGGAGCAGGTGAAGTGCCTGGACATCAGTGCGATGCGGGCGATCACTGAGCAGGACTTTCACAACTCGCTGAAGCGCATCCGGCGTTCGGTGGCCCCGCAGAGCCTTAATTCCTATGAGAAGTGGTCGCAGGACTACGGCGACATTACAATCTAGTCGGGCCAGCTGTGATGTGAGTTTCAGAAAGTTCACTAGTTTTCTCATCATGTGACCCCATTTAAGGATCGGTTCCATCCCGTAGTCTTATCCTTTTACCAAACATTGTAAGCAAAAGCAGTTGTGAGTTATTTAATATGATTTCAGTGTGCTTTAGACTAAGAATATTTTGTATTTTCCTTACGTTTTACCGTCATGTCCCTGTGATGTGATCCTTGTCATGCGGCTCTCCATTACCGTTATACTCATTTAACCTTAGAATAACCATACTGACTAGCGGAGTTGCGAGTTTAGTAACACGACTAGTTAGGCCCGATGTCCACTTGGGGTTAGTATTGAAGGCATTCCATTTAGTTTGGCTTTTTTCTGTTTACAACAGTCTGTATAACCACTTCCAGTGTATTCTTAAATCAATAGAGCGTATTTTTGTTGTACATTCAGTGACCCATCTACGAAAGCTATATGTAATCTAGTCGTAAGCGTAGTTGTAAGACCGAAGAGAGATACATTTACCAGCCCAGAGTCAGATTTAAGTTTTAATGGTTATCACTCCTCCGTATCGATATAGACTAGACTTAGTTCCTTTGTTTTCAATCTATGTATGTACCTACGGCCATAAATACAATCGTCTCCGAATCATCACCTATTCATACCTATGTTATACTGCCATAGTTGCCTATGGCTCAGGTCTTATCTTAGATCTGTCAGAAACATCTCGACACCTCCGCCCGTCGCTTATCGCGGTACTTGGAAACAGCTTATACGCAGCTCGCCGCCCACCCGGATTTTGAGTTCGATGACTAGTTACTAAACACGGATCCATTCAAAATAAATGCATATAAAGTATCTGTCTGAAAATAAAGCTATAGAATACGCTAAATAAAATCAATTTCAACCGACATCTATAGTGCATCCTTAATTAGCGGTAGTTTGTGGATGAAAAAGCATTGGAATTCATCAGGATTATCCTTATTTCATATGTAGTTTTTTAAACTTTCTTCTACGGACTTTGTGTTTGTATTTTTATACTTTGGCAGGGTATTCTAATTTCGGTCAGAAACTAGAAACGCTCACTGCGTTATTTTAGAACCCTTAAGTTATATATATCGTTTTAGCCTACTTCTTCTAAATTTGATTAAATTTTCAAAATTAGCAAATAATTTATTTTCTTAAAATTTTAAATTTATGCAGGTTTTATTAGCCCAGAAAAAAATAGTATAGAAATGCTTTCCGAATTGAATTTGATGCTTTTTTTACTTGGTTATTATAATTTGTAAGCTTTAATTTTCCTAAAAAAAATATTACTTTAGGTTATGAATACAAATTAAAATTTTAATACTTTTTTGAGGGTTTACAAACATTGTCTTTCCGAACTAAGCTTCCTTTCCTGTTAACTTACCTTTCACATTTTCATGATTTTTCATTCAAATAATTACACAGATTCTTGATAGATTATAAAAAAAAAAAAAAAAACATAAAAACCTGTCGTGATGGATCCTTTAGAACATTAAAAAACGCGGTATTACCGAACGTTAAGGTGCTTGAAAAACTGTCTATGGAGCACAAAAATAAGAGGTAAATATTTTCATCTCTGGAAACCTAAATATTCTTAGTAAATAAAAATTCCATACGCAATTCTCGCAAAATGTTCGGAAACAGACTCAGAATAAAATATGCAGGTCCCAGATAAGTAAAATTTTAATATACTAATTATAACCTTCATTCTGTAGACTTTTGAAAATATTTTAGTTCCTTAAAGTTAAAAGAATGGAAAAACATAGAATTACATTAAAAATTTTTGTTTCCCTTGCTTTTTTTTTTTTGAGTAAAATTTATGTTGAGTTTTATAAAGAAACTAAGTTTCGTTCGTTTTCTCACTTGTTTTATATATTTTTTTGTTTCTTTATTTTACATTTTACATATTTATATCGCATTTCGTTTTTCACATTGGAAATACACAATATGTATGCCCAAATTTACAATCTCTTATTGACTAAATTTGTTTTTCCTCGCGTGTTTTGCTTTCTCGTCTTGCTTGTGGCTTTCCTTTGCTTTGCTTTTCTTTCATCCTAATTTTTTGCATCCGTTCCCTTCTTCGTTGACACATGTTCCACATAGTTACAATTACAATTTGCTTTGTCACGTTCTGGTTTCGATTGTGTTCTGTTCCACTCTCAACTTGCTCTGTTCTGTTGTCGCGTATTTTTTGCCTTTTCTCTATTTGCTGTCCGATGTTTCTCACTTGATTTTTTTTTTTTTTTTTAAATTTGTTTTTTAGTTTTCCATTCGGTTTATTTTGTTTCCGTCTCGTTTATATCGCCTATTGATGCTTAAACTTAAAATCATTAAATTATTTTAACACATACTTAAGATTGGATTAGATTGTTACAGCTACCCGCCCATCGCCCGGAGCTTTCAGTTGATGTTTCAGTTGTCGCTGCCAGCGTGGTTCACTTGAAGAGTTCCACGCGCACCGCCTCGACCATCGGCTGGGGGACCTGACCCGACCCTCTGCCAATGCTTCCGCTTCCGTCCGCCGCAATCACTCGCAACCGTAGCCACAATACCGACCTGGACAAGCGTCCATCTTTAATTTTCCGCTGCCTCTCTGCTGCCGTTAATGTTGATGTGGTTGCTATCGGGTAGAATCATGAGGGGCAGCTCCACCTTGGCTGGGACTACCCGGTATTCTAGGTAGCCTAAACGTGTGTAATGAGCTTGCAGCTCCTGAAGATGCTGCAGCTGCGGCAGATGGGGCAGTTGTGGCAGCTGTGGCGGTTGTGGCTGCGGCTGAGGGCGACTGCCCGGATGCTGCAGACGACGTCGAAGCTGGCGTCACATCTCAGCTCATTGGGTCTGGTATTGTGGCATTGCAGCACTGTACATCATTTGGGGGGCAAGTGAACCGTTCGCTGCTGCGGCCGCTGAAGCTGCGGCGGCCGTAACGCCGGGCACCACAGTTCCGGGCACACCCCATGCTACATTTGGCGGCACCATGCGATAGCCGGCAGCTGAAAATGGGTAACACGAGATTAGGCAATGCTCAACTCAAGGATTTGGACGCCTGGATGTCTCAGGCACACTTACGAACGCCTCCCGCTTGCTGAGCACTGGTGGTGTAGGCGTAGGGATAGTAGCCCTGCTGCATGTACTGCGCCTGCATCTGGGTTGTGGGATAGGCCTGCGAATATTCCAAAATATACATCCATCGTGGAGCAATATTTAAGACAACAAATTCTCACCGCTGGGGGATACCAGTAGCTCATGTGCTGGTAGCCATAAGGGTATTGCGCCGCTGTGGCGGCTGCGAGCTGGGGAGTCATCATTTGGCCGGGTATCGCCGCTCCAGTGGCAGCGGCAATCTGTTGCTGCGTCATCATCTGACCGGGCATGCCCGCTCCAGCGGCGGCCGCCGCATTTGCCGCTGCCACAGCCGCCACGTTAGCCGAGGCTGCTGCCGCGGCTGCGGCGTTGAGGTTGTTAGCCGAGTTGTCGCCGCCGTTTTCCTTGCCCCAGAAGCACTTGACCAGGTTTCCGTGGACTTCGCTGTTGTGCGTGTGCTCGATAGCGCGGGCCGCTGCCTCCTTGGTAACGAACTTTATAAACGAGAAGCCCTTGTCCTTAAAAACGCGCACGTCCTGGATGGGGCCGAACTGGACGAAGTGCTTATGCATCAGATCGTCGCTGATGACGTTCGGCGGGAAGCCGCCGCAGTATACGGTAGTGTTGGTGGGGCTCGATTGATTGTACACCTCCTCGAAAGTGTGGCGCTGACTTCCCTTCACTCCGGAACCGTTGCCACCGGGACCACCGCCCATGCCGCCGCCCTGGCCACCACCCTTAGACGGCTCGCGCGGCGGCGGTAACTTGCGCGTGGACCAATTGGTGCGTATCGATCGCGACCCGATCCACTGGCCGTTCATCGCCTGGATGGCGTTCTCCGCCTCCGCCTTCTTAACAAACGACACGAAGGCATAGCCCTTGGACTTCATAGTGTGCGGATCGCGCACAATGCGGCAGTTGGAGATCTCGCCGAACGGGGCGAATGCTTCCCGCAGCGTCTCCGTCTCGATCTCGGGACTAAGGTCGCCCACGAATATGTGATGATGCGAGCTGATGTCTGTCTTGGGCTGATTGCCGGGACTGGTTGCCCAGTTGACCTGCGAAAATTATAAATGGTCAATAAATGCTAATTAATTATTGTGCGTAATGAAACTACTCCCCCCAACTCGTGTCATTTCGAACAATTAGTGAAAGACCTTTAACGCCTTAAAAAATGATCGCAGTAGTGAGGTATGATTATTGTAGAAAAAAAAATGTTTGTAGTAAGTGAAATAGTTACGTTACAAGTTGCCTTTTCTATTAGAAAGGTCCTCCTTGCTGTTCAGTTAAAAGCATTTTGGGTAGAAGCTCGCTTCATGTTACAAACCCCCGAATATTTCCCACTCACCTTGATTTCCTTCTCGAGGAAGAGGCGCTTGTTCATGGCGGTCAGGGCTGTGGTGGCTGCCTGATAGTTGGAATATTCGATAAAGGCGTACGGATCATTTCCCGGCTCTCTGATTATTTTGCAGCTTTTGACGGGGCCCATGGTTCCGAAGAGGGCGATGAGCAGGTCCTCGGAAACGGAGCTGTCCAGATTGCCCACATAAAGGGTCTTCGGCTGTGACTCGTCCATGGCTGGCGGATGTCTGGGATCTACACTAGGTTCTTGCACTCTGCTGAACTCGGCACTTTCTATATTCTAGGACCCGGCACTTAGACTGGCGTCCGCATCAATCGGAAGGAGTGCGGTATTCGAAACACTCTCACTTGTTGGGTTCCTATCTAATAGCTTGCATGTACAAAATGGGCTTAAATACGTTGATTGCGGTCTAAAGAGTGCGCTAGTTGCTAACAAAGAACTGGTCTAGAATTTTGAAACTATTCGATAGTCTATACTACGAACTCACTCTCGTCTTGGCTGGGATCTTTTATTTGGATTATATAAATTATATATGCTGTATCTCTGAGGTTCGTCGTTTATATTGCTTTGCTTTCGTTCCTAATCTGGCGCCTAATTGAAAATTTTGTTAAACATCTATATGTATATATATGTATAAATATATCTGTCCTAACTAATCGCTAATGGAGTGTTTTGGAATATACGATTTGTCGCAATCTATGCTCATATGGATATAACACCGTTTTACTTTGGGGAGGCTGGATCTGGATCTGGGGATTCCCTGCGTGCCTTTGGGGTACTTGGTACTGCTCGTCGATCCCTTGATTCTCTTATTATAAATAAGTTGTCCGTTCAATATACAGGATTGTATAAATGTATTTTTGAATACTTTAGTTGCAGTTGTTGCTACGGTTCCTATATCTCTGCTTTTGTTGTTGTACAAAAATTAGTTGGCTATATAAGGGTTCGCAGGTTAACTGTGATTAGTTGTTGCAGTTTTTGGGTTTCGAAGCTGATCCCTGGGAATCACTGCTGCAAAAAAGAAAGACACAAAATTAGAAAATTAACTTGTAAACAAAAATTTTCCATATTTGTATGCAAATAATAAATTAAATAATTGAATTGACTTGTTTATTGCAAAATCCTTCAAAGGGATATAAATACAAGATCGCTCTACGGACTTTCGTTTGTAATATTTCCGTAAATATGCGACAGCCCTGCTTGAAATTTCGGTTTATTGTTGGAGGGCTTGTAATATTCGGGATAGTGGGACAAGGTCTAACAGCACATGATCGGTGGAGGCATTAGCTAGGCAAATGATATGGATATAAATGGAGCTCGCTCCCAACGCTGCGCTACCGCTCCCGCTGTCTCAGCGAGGAACAAAGAGCCACCGAAGGCGGCAAAGCAGTGCAGGGACACGCACACACGTGCGCACGCTCCCTCACACGCACACACTTACGCGTGCAGAGAGTAAGAGAGGGTGAGAAAGAGAGAGGCTGGCCGCTTTTATAACAAAGCAAATCGCCAACAATTGACAAAAGCCATTCATTCGCAACGAATTTGCGGGTCTGACAAAATGATTTAGTTTATAATTAATAATGGCCCGTATTCTGTGGTGCACTTTACCCGAATTCTAAGAGGAACAGCGCACACTCACGCATACACGAAAATAGGGCGAACGACAAAACGAAAATCAACCAGAAGATGAATGACCGTCGATAACATGGAGAAAGAGGAGGGAAATTTGCGAAACCGGCGGACGCACGGTTGCATTAGATTTTTTTCCGTCTCTGTCGGTTGCGTTCCAATTCCTAATTCTTACGGCAAAATCAAATTTCAATTTGCATGGCACTAAACTTGATTTTGATTATTTCTGCGGCGGCGGTGGCGGCGCTAGAAAATGTCAGTCAAAGTCACAGAACAGAACAGAATAGAAGAGACGGCGAAAAGGGAACGGGAATCGGGGGATGGCGGGGTGGTTTTTGTTGCTCATTTGCTGCTGCTTATTTTCTTCGTCTCTTTTCGCACACTCACTCACTCACACAGACGCACCCACATACACACACGGACACAGAGAGGCGTCTTGCGCTGGTCTTTTTGTTTGCGTTTTGCTCACATGAGTCGCCACTTTTCTTCGCTTTTTTCGGTTTTGGTTATTGAGCATTTAAAACTAATGCCAATACTAACACCAATGCAATTTGAATGTGGGACTTTTCATTGCCTTTTCAGCTTGCCGCTTCCATCCATCCCGTCTATATATGTATGTATGTATGTATCTCGCTCGGTTTTGTGCTGCCATCTTTTTATGCCGCTCCCCTCTCCCTTCCGCACCACACCCCCGCACGCCCGCGCCCCAAACGCGATGCCGAAAGCTGGGATTAACATTAAACGCGGCTAAGTACAATATTCCTGTCCCATTGTTAGACACTGCCCAGAATTCATGATTTCGCAGCCAAAATCCGCACTCTCTTCGCTCGACATTTTATGCGCTCCGCTCTCTGTGACGTGGCTGCGGTTGTAAATTTACCGCTTTTTACATGCGCTGCACTCTTTTCGCACACTTCACTGCCCGGCCAATATTAGCCGCTACCGGTTTCTATCAAATTTGCACAATTTTCGTTGGGTTTACTGTTTAAAAATGTACGATAAACACGTCGCTGAAATTTTACCTTCGTCGTCTAAAATGCGAACTAATTAATGAGACTTTGTGTGCGAGAGGACGGTGCTGCCAACTCGCTCATAAAGAAAAACGCAATGGCGGCAATCTGAGAAATACGCTAAAAACAAGCAAAGCACCAGGATTTTGGTAGGCATTAAATAACGCAGGCCTATAATAGAATGTCTGAACGGAATATTAAGCTAGATCAATTACGAATTTTAGAAATTTAGGTAATTTTAGTCAATTTATCGAAAAGAGGGCAACCCTGGCACCATCGATAAACGCTTGCATCACCGCTTTCTCTTTCTAACACACGCAGCTGCACCATCACAAAACGGAATAAAGAAGAACGTAGAAATGGTCATTAATATTTTTATAAACAGTAAACATTTAATTACCTGCGCGGACGACAGCGATTATGATGAACTATGCAGCCGGATCGAGAAGCACACGGTGAGTGCGGGACTTTACTGCCTGAATTTCAAGATGTTGCTTATTTATGTTTGTGGTTAATCGTTTTCCAGAACCTCCAGTCCGAGGATTATTACCTGATAAGCAATGGCAAACTCCTAAAGGACAAGCTCCTCACTCACGGAAATGTACACTGCATCCTCCGCCAGGTGGGTGGCAAGGGTGGGTTCGGTTCCATGCTTAGAGCCATTGGCGCTCAAATAGAGAAGACCACCAATCGCGAGGCCTGCCGTGATTTGAGCGGGCGCCGATTGAGGGACATCAACGAGGAGAAGCGGGTGCGCGCCTGGCTGGACAAGCAAGGCGAGCGAGAACGTGAGGCCGAGGAGCGCAAGAAGCGAAAGATCGAGAAGCTCCTGGCCGTGCCCAAACACGACTTCAAGGATGACGAGTACGAAGAGGCTAGGGCTAATCTCACCGAGAAGGTGAACGACGCCTTCGAGGAGGGACTAAAGAACGCAGAGGAGATCAGCAAAGAAAAGCAGGCTGCCCAGGACGAACCCTCTACCAGTGGCGGCACCAAGCGGAAATCTCCCACCGAAGACAAGGCAAAGGCCAAAAAGAAGAAAAAGGGAGCCCTCTGGATTGGCGATGATATCTCCGGTTCCGACTCTGACACAGACGACAGTGAAGAAGAGTCGAAGAAAAAGGCCATCAAGAACTAGTAGCGACAACCGCATTTAAAATTTGAATGATTCAGATTTAATAGTTTTAAAATTAATACTATGCACTAAGAGTAGGATTAATATGTAGGTATTTGTAAAAATAAACGATTGCCTCACGGCGACACAAACTGCGAGGAGACCCAGGCCAGTCCCCACTTCAGGTTCGTCAGCATGAACTTTAAAGCCTTCGTCCACTGCTCCTCCGAGTTGAACTGGATCCTGCAATAAATTGGGGGGTCCCATGTTAATGAAAATTTTCATAAAAAATTATGGCAAGCCTTACTTGATCGAGTAGGAATTTCCCGTGGAGGGGTCGATAATTTTGCCCTTGTCCATTTTGTAGGGCAGTAGGAATTCGGTGTCTCGCTTCTCCACCTCCTTTTGAAACTGGGTGAGGCAGTCGAGGAAGGCCACCATGGCAGCATCGAACTTCGTGTCCCAGAAGAACTTGAAGCCGCCGCTGCCGTAGAGCGGCAGCTCCCGGTTTTCGCCGAGCACCTCAACGTACGAGTGATTGCCGAACGGCACCACGCGGTACCGCTCGAACGTAAGCCCGATCTTGCGAGCCAGTGCGGACAGCAGGAGCACCGTCTGGCCCCAAGCGGCATTGATCTCAGACCAGTCCACAGAAACGGAGGGCAGGCGGCCCAGCCGGAAGTTATTGATGGTGCCAAAGTGGCCGGCGTGCCATATGTGAAAGGTGATGTTGAAGATGTTGGTGTCGCGCAGCTTGTCCAGCTGCTGCCGCGAGTATGCGATCTGACTTTCTAGGCTGCGTTTATCGTCCTCGGTGAGCATCAGTTCACGCCTGTGCTTGGTGTACTCTCGCCAGTAGCTCTCCTCCTGCTCGTGCAGCTGCTCCCTCTCCAGCTCCTCCTGTGCAATAGCTTCGTTAAGCGATTGTTCCTCCTCCTTGAGCTCGGCCAGCTGCGAGAGCAACTGCTGCTCGCTGCGCTTCAGTTCGTCCAACTCTTTGTCCAAAGCATCCACGTTTGGCGCCTCCCGCTGCTGTTCTAGCTCGTCGAGATACGTCTTATACACATCCCACTCGTCCTCGGCGATGCGCAGCTCTCGGTCCATGATCTCCAGCATGGAATCGGCACACTCCTCGCAGAGCGGATGATCGATTTCAGAGTTGGAGGACAGGCAGTCAAAGAGCTCGGCCTTCAGCTTGAAGGCGGCGCTCATCTTCTTACTGTCCCGGCCATCGGACACCAGCATAAACCCAGTGCCATTGATAGAGTCCGTGAGCCTGTAGGGAGGGACGAAGTGGTCGAAGCTGCTGGCGTCCTGCGGGTCCAAGGTGTTTCCATTGTCCCCGTAGATGGGCACTGAAAAGTATGATTCATTAGACCATGAGCATTTCCAGTATGCTTTTTTCCTACGCGATAACTCCGCCATGGCATGAACACTGATCTTCTCCAGCTGCTCGTCCAGCACGATGGGCTGCAGACAGCGCTGGCAGGCGAAGGAAACCGCGTGTTTCTCCGCCTCGCTCATTGTGGCAGCTATATGTGGTCCTGGTCCTGCGAACCGTGCATTCAAAGGGAATATAAACTATTTTTTCCGAGAGTGAGAAAACACAAATAATTGATCAGCTGTTTGCAGCTGCTGCCAGAGTTGCCACCCCTGCACGAATCGGCAACGGAAGCAACGGCGTCCACGGCGCAGTTAATCGGACAGAAAATGTCAACCATCAACAAGCGGAGAGAAAAGAACGTTTAAAACCAGTTTTAAAACAAAAACATTGCCCCAAGAGTGTCCGGAGGAGAGGCTTAAGCGTGCCGTGGAGCCGCAGGCCTTGACCACTATTGTTGCTGATAAGCCGTTGCGAGAGAAGTCGAGTGGTTTCGCTTTTATTTTGTTTTGGTAAGCGGAAAGCATATGAGACGCAGTGCCGTCGCCAGTGCTGCCAGCCTGGCTTGTCGCTGATAGCCTAGTTTAGCTTATTTCCCGCTGTCTTTCTGTAGGTTAGTTTTCCCAATTCCGATTTTATTTATTTGTTGATCCTTTTTAATACGATTAAAACATTGTTTAATTGATTGAATGTACTTTTAAAAATGTCAGGATAAGAAATATATGAACAGAGTTAATATTAGAATTTTGTCTCAAAAGACTTGATTAGAATTAAAGAAAATAATGCATAATGATTTGTGTGCTTCAACTTTTAACCTTTAAAGAACCCAACAATCTCTTAATTTCTTAATCAACTATTTTATTTTGATGTTGCGAAGCCAAAAGACACAGCATATTTGAAGCTTGCTACGTCAATGGAATTATTTGTCATTAAAAGCATGATTGAAAGATTAAAATTTTATAATATGACGTATTTTAGACCACCTCTTGTGGAAAGTGTTAGAGGTTAAGGACATTGGGTTCCGCAATCTAAAGTTCAGCTTCAGCTTCAAAGATAAGAGCATGGAAAGAATTGAGCCATTAGTTTAAATATTAATCTTGCTAAAAAAAGGTTAGCTGGGAATTTCAGATTGGTTTTCTCCTTTTCTTTAAGTACTTTTGTTATCAAGATTTGAGTATTTGAGAAATTAATCTAGCTTTATTTGAGACTAAACACGATCAGCAGCGAGCAGGGGCTGTGGGCAGCACTGGCGCTGGTCACATTGCCGCCTCTTCGGTTTCGACAGCCCATGGAAAACTTTCAGTCTCTTGCAGGCAGCACAACGATTCGGAAGCAACCAATTGAAACCTCCACTATTCCTTGCTCCTCCCCCACTTAGACTTCCGACTGAAAGTGCCGCCACCGTCCGAGTCCCCATCGCATGACAGTGTTTTGATTTGCATCTGTTCCTAGGCAGCAGTAGCCGGATTTGCGGGATCCAGTCACATAAAGGCCCCCCCAAATTGCGCTGCGGAGATTAAACAACAGAAGCGAAGACCGACCGACCGACCGACCGACCAGTTCCCGGTTCCACACACATCGTGCCATTTTTATCTGGCATACAGACGTGATTACGTGATTAGAGCAGCGGGGGCTGTCGCAACAGCGGCTACAACAATGGTTTCCTACTTCGTACCTCGTGGTCGTTTCCTGCTCAAGGCCGGCAATCTCAGGCAGGTGGTGCAGCAGCAGCATCAGCCTACCCAGCTCCAGCTCCAGGCTATCAAGGGTCCCCAGGGACCTCAGGCGCAGAACGGCAGCTTGCCGGTGGTGCGTCACTTTCGTCAGTTCTCCTCGAATGCCGCCTCCAAGGAGGCTCCGCTCCACCACCGACGACCGCCGCTGCACAAGCAGCAACAGACACCGAATCCCAGCCAGGATGTGGCCCAGCTCCGACGTAACGTACTCTCCCGTTGGACCGGCTTCCTTCTGCGTTGGGCACCCATGGGCATTTGTGTGTTCGGGGCCATCGAATGGCAGCTGCAGAAGAAGCGCTGCGAACGGGACGGCATGCCCAGGACTGCCTCCGAGTTGCAGTCGCGCATCTACTGCTCCCTGCCGTTGCGCATTCTCAGTCGCTGCTGGGGCTGGCTGGCCGCTTGTTACCTGCCGCCCACCCTGCGTCCATATGTCTACGGCTGGTACTCCAACACGTTTAATGTGAATCTGTCGGAGGCCCAGTATCCCGAGTACGAGCACTACAACAGCCTAGCGGAGTTCTTCACACGCCCGCTCAGGGAAGGCGCACGCACTATTGACCAGAACGCTCCCGTCGTGTCACCCGCCGATGGTAAGGTCCTGCACTTCGGCAGTGCCTCGGACTCGCTAATCGAGCAGGTGAAAGGCGTCAACTACAGCATCGAGGACTTTCTGGGACCCTTGCAGACACTAGAACAGGCCAACTCTGGTGAGTCCTATGCCCAGGCTCTGAAGAAGAAGAGCGACGGTTCCACGGAGCTGTACCAATGTGTGATATACTTGGCCCCCGGGGACTACCACCGATTCCACTCTCCCACCACCTGGCAGCCCACCATCCGTCGGCATTTTTCCGGCGAACTGCTCTCCGTGAGCCCCAAGGTGGCTGGCTGGCTACCCGGCCTGTTCTGCCTTAACGAACGCGTTCTGTACATGGGCCAATGGAAGCACGGTTTCTTCTCCTATACCGCCGTGGGCGCCACCAACGTGGGCTCTGTGGAGATCTACATGGATGCCGAGCTGAAGACCAACCGCTGGACAGGTTTCAACGTGGGCAAGCACCCGCCCAGCACCTACGAATATGACGAGCTCGCTTTGGACCAGGCACCCCAAGGAGCGCCCAAGGAGTTCGGTAAGGGTGAGCTTGTGGGCCAGTTCAACATGGGTAGTACCATAGTCCTGCTCTTCGAGGCGCCCAAGAACTTTAAGTTCGACATCGTCGCGGGCCAGAAGATCCGCGTAGGCGAGTCGCTCGGCCATATTGCCGGCTCCCCTTGAGGTGGCGCCGCATCCTGTACCGAATCAGTGCAAAGTCCTGTAACCCATTTGTTCACATCACTCGTTGTATTAGCATTAGACGCTCGTGTCCTAGGCAAATGTATTTTGTGAACAACGTCCTGCGAAGCTAACACTGTGTATTGTTGCCATTTCTCTGTAGTCCGTAAGCCATATTTTTTACAATAAAAAGTCGAAATATATTTGAGAACAAACAAAAACAACCACGGAAGGCAATTAAGTGATTCTCGGCACGCGCTCCCTAACTAGAGCAGCGATTGTTGAGGTGGGCTGGCTAGGAGGTCTTATCAGGATCACCTTTGATAAGCAACGCTACCACAACCGAACCGCCGAGTCGTTGAACCCCCGTGGGGAGAAGAACCCAGGAAGACTACGTCTGTGGCCGGCCGGTTGTCTTATCGGTGCGAACTGACCGCAAGGGGGACTTCCATACCCTTCCCGGATGGTAAACACGCCACCGGAACCCGAAATCAAAAACCTTTCGGGGTAGACAAGCGCGTGCCGCTCCGCCACGATGATGAAGATGCTCTCGTTCGCACACCCTGACAAGTGTTTACTTGAGCTCTGCGAATCCGGGATCGCAATCCATTCCGCTTAATTGATTCAATCAAGCCCAGCCCAGGCCGGCGGGAGCCATGTTCGTTGAACTTATCAGGCTGACGGTGACGGGTGTGATTTGGCGAAGCGATTGGGCCACAGGCCTTGACATACACTTCACGTTGTCGGAGAGTGATGTTTTGGTTGCCCGACCTGGCAACAGATTTTCGCTCAGCTCTGATCTGCGTCAGCAAACATTAGGGTAGGTATTAGGTATATTATATATTTATAATTAGGTATTGTATTCTGTGGGTGCATCTTAAAAAGCTTCAGCTGGTCTTAAGGAGAACCACCTCCAACCACCTGGCTGGTACGGAGAGGGTGGCACGGTGACGAGAAGGCACTTTCCATTGCAGGACATTGGCCCAATACTTATGTAGTTAATTTGTATTTCTACAAATCCTAGTTCTAGATTTTTGTCTGGAAGAGTATATGTATGTATGTACATCGCATCTGCTGGCAATAATATCGTAGTAATCTGGTATAGGCAAAGAAAATTATTTGGAAAGTTTAAAAATTACAAATTAATGAAAAAAAGATGCTGCTACAACGCTTTTTGATGGCTTCAAGAGCACACTTGGCCAAGAAGCCACAAATACTAACTTTGATTTTCCATAAAGGTAACATGAAACGCTTCTTTGGTAGACAAGAACCGACTGCCATTGAACTTGTGGACTACGAATATGTCAAGAAGTTGCCGTGTGAACCACAGAAGCTACTTGTCGATGTCCGGGAGCCGAACGAGCTGGAGGAAAGTGGCCAAATTCCCACTAGCATCAACATTCCGCTGGCTCAGGTATGCCAGGAGCTGGTAGCCAGTAAGCAGATCTTCGAGTGCAACTACGGCCGAAAGAGGCCTGAGCTGGACACCGAGATCATTTTCCACTGCAGGAGTGGTAAACGGAGCTTACAAGCGGCGGAAGTCGCCGTCGCCTTGGGCTTTCGGAATGTCAAGAACTACGAGGGATCCTGGCTGGACTGGGCCAAGAATGAGGGTCTAAGCAGTTGAAAAACAAATTCATTCAAAACAAAAACTTACCACATTTAATATTACTTTATTTCACCACATAAATTTCCCTAAAAACTACCCAATGGTCTGGCAACAGCTGTGAGCCGGCATTCATTTGTTGTTCTTTGCGATTTTGTGTGATAATTGTTATTTATTATGGAATTTGTTGATTAATCTCAAAGCTTGATGGCCTTAAGAGAGAGGTTTTGAGTCGATAAAAAATTAATTAATTCAAAGCAAGAAATCACCACATTAAAAATGACTTAATTTCCCTACTTAAATTTCCCTTTAAATTATCCATTGGTCTGGCAACCCTCTGTCTAACAGCTGTGAGCCGGCATCCATTTGTTGTTCTTTGCGACTTTACGTAATAATTGTTATATTTTGTGGAATTTATTGATTACTCTCAAACGTAATATGCTTGTGAAACACTATATGATGGCCTTAACGGTCTCAAGGACCCTGGCTCCTCTCCGTGGGACCATGTATCCACAAAGGCTTACACTGATCCCGGAAAGAAATCTCTTGCAGCGTCTCTATAGCAGCAAAGGACCTGCTTCCATTGGAATCGTGGACTACGACGTGGTCAAGAAGCTGCCCAGCGAACCGCAAAAACTCCTAATTGATGTCCGCGAGCCGGAGGAGCTAAAGGAGACTGGTCAAATACCCTCCAGCATAAACATTCCCCTCGGCGTAGTCAGCCAGGAGTTGGCCGCCACCGCACAGGACTTCAAGTCCAAGTACGGCAGAGAGAAGCCGCAGCCGGACACTGAGATCATCTTCCATTGCAAGATCGGCAAGCGTAGCCTTAAGGCTGCTGAGTCCGCCGCCGCCTTGGGCTTCCGGAATGTCAAGAACTACGAGGGTTCTTGGTTGGATTGGGCGAAGAGGGAAGGCCTGCCCAAGTAGGTTAACAAGAAAGTCAGAACAAATACTGTTTAAAAACAAAACTCCTTCTTTAATAAAAAAATTTTTAGATTATTTATGAGTCGTGCAATCAGCGCAGGGAAACCCGTTCAATCCCTGAAATGCTGTTTCATATCCCCAAAATCCCATTTTAAATATCAAACTTTTTTTTTCTGTATTCAACAGATCAATTTATTTATGCCTACTGAGTAGCATATTCTAACTAAAATAAACTTAATATTTGGTTTAGAGGATTTTCGGTTGAGATCTACATAAGAGGCTTCTTTCTTTAATATGTACACTAGACTTATGTAGGATGCTGGCACTTAGTCCACCTCCTCGACGGTGGGGCCCTTGCCGAAGCCGTTGGGAGCCTTCTGCCCGTCTCCACCTGCACCTCCCTGCTGGTGCATCTTGGTCATGATGGGGCTGCAGAACTTGGTCAGCTCCTGCAGCTTGTGCTCGAACTCCTCCTTGTCGGCGGTGGTGTTGCCGTCCAGCCAGCGCACCGTCTCGTTGCAGCGTTCCAGCACACTGCTCTTGTCCTCCGCACTGATGCGGTCCCCGCCCTGCTCAGCTGCCTCCTTGACTCCGAACACGTAGCTCTCCAGCTGGTTGCGGGCGGCGATTCTCTGGCGGTGCTGCTCGTCTTCCTCGGCGTACTTCTCGGCCTCGCTGAGCATGCGGTCGATGTCCGCCTGCGAGAGTCGGCCCTTGTCGTTCTTGATGGTGATGTTCTTGGCGTTGCCGGTGCCCTGCTCCTTGGCGGTCACGTTCAGGATGCCGTTCGCGTCCAGGTCGAAGGTAACGTCGATCTTCGGCACTCCTCGCGGGGCCGGAGGGATTCCAGTCAGGTTGAAGGTGCCCAGAACATTGTTGTCCTTGGTGAGGGCTCGCTCGCCCTCAAACACCTGGATGGTCACCGCCGGCTGGTTGTCCGCGTAGGTGGTGAAGGTCTTGGACTGCTTGCAGGGGATGCGACTGTTGCGCTCGATCAGCTTGGTCATCACGCCGCCGGCGGTCTCGATTCCGAGCGAGAGGGGAGCCACGTCCACTAGCAGAACATCCTTGATCTGGCTGCTCTCGTCGCCCGAGAGGATGGCCGCCTGGATGGCAGCCCCGTAGGCCACAGCCTCGTCGGGGTTGATGGACAGGTTCAGACTCTTGCCGTTAAAGAAGCTCTGCAGCAGGCTCTGCACCTTGGGGATGCGCGTCGAGCCACCGACCAGGACAATGTCGTGGATTTGCCCCTTGTCCATCTTTGCGTCGTTCAGCGCCTTCTCCACTGGCTGTAGGGTGTTGCGGAAGAGGTCGCCGCACAGCTCCTCGAACCGTGCCCTGCTTATCTTGGTGTAGAAGTCATGGCCCTCGAACAGGGCGTCCACCTCGATGGACGCCTCTGTGCTGGAGGAGAGGGTACGCTTGGCCCGCTCAGCCGCGGTGCGGAGGCGTCGCAGGGCCCGCGGGTTGGTGCGCAGGTCCTTCTTGAACTTACGCTTAAACTCCTCTGCAAAGTGGTTGACCAGCCTGTTGTCGAAGTCCTCACCGCCCAGATGCGTGTCTCCGGCAGTGGACCGCACCTCGAACAGGGATCCCTCGTCGATGGTCAGGATGGAGACGTCGAAGGTGCCACCTCCCAGATCGAAGATGAGCACGTTGCGCTCTCCCTTGAGGTTCTTGTCCAGCCCGTAGGCCAGCGCGGCCGCTGTGGGCTCGTTGATGATGCGGAGCACATTCAGGCCGGCGATGGCACCGGCGTCCTTGGTGGCCTGGCGCTGGGAGTCGTTGAAGTAAGCGGGCACTGTGATGACTGCGTCCCGAATAGAAGTGCCCAGGAAGGCCTCGGCCGTCTCCTTCATCTTTGTGAGCACCATCGAGCTGATCTCCTCCGGGGCGAAGCGCTTCTCCTCGCCCTTAAACTCGACACTCATCTTGGGCTTGCCGCCGTCGTTGGTCACGCGGAAGGGCCAGTGCTTTATGTCCTCCTGGATCTTGGGGTCGTCGAAACGCCGGCCAATTAGCCGCTTGGCGTCGAAAACGCTGTTCTTGGGGTTCATCGCCACCTGGTTCTTGGCGGCGTCTCCGATTAGGCGCTCAGAGTCCGTGAAAGCCACGTAGCTGGGCGTGGTGCGGTTGCCCTGGTCGTTCGCAATGATCTCCACCTTGCCGTGCTGGAAGACGCCCACGCAGGAGTACGTGGTGCCCAGATCGATTCCGATAGCTGGCATCTTGGCTGTTGTGTGTGTTCTTCTTTCTGGATGGTTAATATGTGGATAGCGGATCTCTTTCTCGTTGTGCTCCTTGCTCTTGGTTCTGGATTCACTTTTCATACACTTTTCAATTTCAATTTTCAAATGTCTCTCTTGGCTGATTTTCAGCTTTCGCTTGTGTGTCGCTTGCTTGAAGTTTTCACTTTGGCTGTTTGATTTCAAATGTGCCGGGTGGAAATTTGCGCCGCTATTTATACCCGGCCGCCGTGAGGGGAAATTTCGAGATTTCCCTGCCAGAAGAGTGCAGAAGGTTCGAGGCGCTTCGCGTGAGTGCGAGCGAGGCAACCATAGGGGGTTGCTCGCAGGGGAAAGTGCGTGGAGGAAAGGAGTGGAAAGTTCTGGAACAACCGAGGCACTGGGACACCTTTTGCATTGCCGTAGGTCAGCGCTGGCCAGTAGCCATATAACGATACTGAGTATATTTTTGGCACTTACATATTAAAAATTGAATATAGAAAGCTTATTTTTAGATCGGTGAGCTTATTCACTGCGATCACTTTAATTGCTTTATTGACGTCTGCACGATATTTATATTTCAACATTTTCTTCCAACTTCCCCTAATGTTGAAAATTGAATTAATTGTACTAAATGATTAATATAATCAATACAAAGATATACTTTATTTACAGCTTGTACATTATTATTCACAGGGATTTTTTCATTCCAAAACTTTGTTACAAAATTAATTTATAATATTGATTATTTATAATATTGATTTTCGATATTGTTATCCAAAAACTTTTTTTTCAATACAATTTAAAAATATTAAATGTGAATTCCAGACATATAATGCGTAAAAATTGAACTTATATTAAAAATGTATTACTTTAAGCTGCCAATTTTTTAATTCCAATTTAAAAAGACGAAAAGTTTCCTAGAAAACTAATTAGTTTCACCGCCACATTGGAAATCGAATAATAAATAAAGAATTGGTTCCCAAGAAAATACATACATTTAATCGCCAATTTGGAGTTTGAATTTAAAAAAACGACATAGTCCCAAGAATATAAATTATTTTAAATTTAAGAATATCATTTAATATAATAATTTAAGAATATAATTTATTTTAAAAAAATAAAATAAAATAAACATCGACCATCTTGGAACACGGACGTGTTTACTTTTACTCCGCATTAAATCTATTTTATAAATCGATGCAAAAGATGCAAAAAAAAACTGTGATGTCAAAAGAAACCTATGTACATATGTATGTATGTACATATGTATATGAGTATATTCTGATTCGCCAATAAAATTCTGAGCAAAATTGTGTTCTCATTGCAAATATGGTACTTAAAATGGAGGAAAAATATAAAATTAAAAAGACATATATAATTTCGAAAGCTTGCCAAAATCTGATGAGCTTCGTTTCACACATTAAATAATAAACAAATAAAAGGTTTGTTTTGAAAAGAAAGCATGCAAACAAACAGAACTCAAGTCTGTGCACATATTGTGTGTATTTTCAAAATTGTGCACGCGTCAATATGGCTAATAAACAACCACTGATGACTAAACCACCATCTAAAAATAAGCTTTCCTTATTCAATTTTTAATATGTAAGTGCCAAAAATATATTCAGTATCGTTATATGGCTACTGGCCAGCGCTGACCTACGCCAATTCAAAAGGTGTCCCAGTGCCTCTGTTGTTCCAGAACTTTCCACTCCTTTCCTTCACGCACTTTCCCCTGCGAGCAACCCCCTATGGTTGCCTCGCTCGCACTCACGCGAAGCGCCTCGAACCTTCTGCACTCTTCTGGCAGGGAAATCTCGAAATTTCCCCTCACGGCGGCCGGGTATAAATAGCGGCGCAAATTTCCACCCGGCACATTTGAAATCAAACAGCCAAAGTGAAAACTTCAAGCAAGCGACACACAAGCGAAAGCTGAAAATCAGCCAAGAGAGACATTTGAAAATTGAAATTGAAAAGTGTATGAAAAGTGAATCCAGAACCAAGAGCAAGGAGCACAACGAGAAAGAGATCCGCTATCCACATATTAACCATCCAGAAAGAAGAACACACACAACAGCCAAGATGCCAGCTATCGGAATCGATCTGGGCACCACGTACTCCTGCGTGGGCGTCTTCCAGCACGGCAAGGTGGAGATCATTGCGAACGACCAGGGCAACCGCACCACGCCCAGCTACGTGGCTTTCACGGACTCTGAGCGCCTAATCGGAGACGCCGCCAAGAACCAGGTGGCGATGAACCCCAAGAACAGCGTTTTCGACGCCAAGCGGCTAATTGGCCGGCGTTTCGACGACCCCAAGATCCAGGAGGACATAAAGCACTGGCCCTTCCGCGTGACCAACGACGGCGGCAAGCCCAAGATGAGTGTCGAGTTTAAGGGCGAGGAGAAGCGCTTCGCCCCGGAGGAGATCAGCTCGATGGTGCTCACAAAGATGAAGGAGACGGCCGAGGCCTTCCTGGGCACTTCTATTCGGGACGCAGTCATCACAGTGCCCGCTTACTTCAACGACTCCCAGCGCCAGGCCACCAAGGACGCCGGTGCCATCGCCGGCCTGAATGTGCTCCGCATCATCAACGAGCCCACAGCGGCCGCGCTGGCCTACGGGCTGGACAAGAACCTCAAGGGAGAGCGCAACGTGCTCATCTTCGATCTGGGAGGTGGCACCTTCGACGTCTCCATCCTGACCATCGACGAGGGATCCCTGTTCGAGGTGCGGTCCACTGCCGGAGACACGCATCTGGGCGGTGAGGACTTCGACAACAGGCTGGTCAACCACTTTGCAGAGGAGTTTAAGCGTAAGTTCAAGAAGGACCTGCGCACCAACCCGCGG